GTAAAAATTGGCCTAGGCCCACCAAAGGCCCAACTACTAGCTACACCTACACAATTTAATATTTGTCACCCCACTTCTACTACTAAAAATATGAAAATCAATGAACCTTAATACAAGGTCAAATGGAGCAAAAGTCTCCAAACAACATACCCTAAAATCCTAAAGGGATGACCTATAAGAAAAGGAAAAGGTGTCTTATAAGTACAAAGGCAAAATACACCTGTACAAGTATCTACTATATACAAGGTAAAAGAAATCAAACTATAAAATGTATGTACAATAAAGACTACAAGACTAAAAATAGGAATCATACTCAATGCTCATATTGAGCATAGGTCTAAGAAGCACCTCCTCTATAAAAGCCTCCTCTAGCCTCCTAACCATGTGATGGAGGACCATCCTTGGAGCTTTATGTGGGACCCATCACTAAGTCCATGGCTAGAAGATTGGATGAGGATAGGGGAGCTAATACCCTTAGAGACATGCTTCTTATGGCTATTAATCATTCTACTAAGCCTTGTTAACATTAAATTTATTATTCCTATTTTACCCTTGTCTTTAATTTCCTATTTCACCCTTGCATTTTGGGTACCTTAGACATAGGATTTATTTTACTTCTATTTCCTATTTTACCCTTGTATTATGGGGTGCCTTAGATTATAGGATTTTAATTTATAGCTAGAGTATTTTATTAAGGTTGGAAACTAGTCCTAGACATGTTTTTTGTTGGCATTGGATTTATGTTTGGCGTCTGGGGGCATACAAATAAGGGAATGGACCTCTGTTACAAAGGGAAGGAGCTCCCGAAGCATGCAAACGACAAGATGGGACTTTAGAAGGCCCATTAAGCTAATTTTAAAAGACTGGAACGGGCTGTTCCGAATTCCGGAACGGGCCGTTCCCAATTTGGAACGGGCCGTTCCAAGTTTTTAAAAAAGCCATCAACCCTAATTTGGAACAGACTGTTCCTAAATTGGAACGGGCCGTTCCAAGATTGGAACAGGCCGTTCCAAGATTGGAACAGGCCGTTCCAAACTCCTCAAAAAAGGGGTAAAAGTTTATTTGGAACGGGGCTGGAACGACCGTTCCTAAAATGGAACGGGCCGTTCCAAGGCCGTTCCAGACCAATCATGTGTGCTTAATTTGGAATCCAGAACGGGCCGTTCTGAAATCAGAACAGGCCGTTCTGGTTCCCCGAAACGGGCCGTTCCGGTTTCAGAACGGGTCGTTCCAGGGTCCAAATTAACCCACAACGGCCATATCCAAAACGGCCGTTCCGATTTTGGAACGGGCCGTTCTGGACCCCCTTTTCGAAGTCTATAAATAGATAGCTGGAGCTCATTTCTCAGGGCTCCAAAATTTCGTCCAGACTCCCTAGAGCACGAAATTTCTCTATTTTTCTCTCTCCTCCTCTCTTTGTATTTCTTGAGATTTTTGTGAGCCATTGTAGTGTGAAGGGTTGCCAAAAAGCACCCAAATCTCCATCTTTGAAGATTAATAGAGCTCGTTCAAGAGGTATTTCAGCTAAATTTTTTCCTCTCTTTTATTTTCTGTTTTTAACAAATGTTATTTATAATAAAAATAATGTAAACATTTTAGGATTAATTGTATAATTTAAATTTCAAGCATGTAAATAATTATTAATAAAGGGGATTAAATATTTTAATTATTAATTCTTATTACGTTATCTTCATCATAGGGTACCGATTTAGGGCGTTGTAGGGGTGCTTAATACCTTCCCTACATGTAACCGACCCCCGAACCCAATTCTGGTTATCAAGGCCATTATTGGATTCTTTTGAAAAAAACCTTTTCTTTTTCCAATGTTTTGAGTAAAACATTGGTGGCGACTCCATGAACTATTTTTCAAAACCATTAATTAAGGATTAGTCTGGTGTCCGGGCATTCCTTAATTGATGAGATCTTTAAAAGGATGTCTAAACCATTAGTCGCAAGATCGGAAATTTTCGGGTTGCGACAAGGCTTAGGCCCAAGTGGAGGGCACCTAAGTTACAAGGTCTTATCACGCACCTAGATGTAGCTTAACCAAACCTAAAGATTCCATCCTTGGTCACCAAGTAGCATCTAAGGTTAATTTAGGTTTCATTTGAAGTTCATTTGGCTTGCATTACTTGGCCATGCACTCTTAAATGTAACCCTAAATGCATCCTCCCTTCTATAAATACCTTAAGCTAGCCTCCTTGTAAATACTTTAGAAATTATAATATTGAGTGAGCCTTTTGTGCCTTAATATTTTCCTTAGTCTCTCTTGTTCTAAATTCGGCCAAGAACCCTACCTATCTCCACCTTGAGAGAAAACCCTAGAAGTGGCCTTCATCACCCATGAAATGAGCCAAACCTAGAGTTCCCCTCTCAAACCTTTCATCAAATACCTTCAAGGCAACCTCCATTTTCATCCTTTCTTCCATCAAAGACGTCAATCTTGAAGAAGTTCATCCAAGGAGTCAAGGTTTCCTCTCATTGATCACAACTCTCCATCAATGCAAGTAAGGATGCCATCATGTGGTATCTAGAGCCAAAGGTTCTTGAAGGGTAACCTCTTAGTCTTTTATAATTTCGGTTATGTTTTTGAGTCTTCTAGCCTGTCTCAAAAGTTGTGCTAAAGTGGGTCATCATCTTGCCATATGTTCATGATCCATATTTCTTCTTTCATGTGTGAATTCATGCCATTCTCATTCTTGTGAATCATCTTGGTGTTTTAGGCTTCTTTGCTTAGGTTCCTACCATTTTTCTTTTAAATTTGAGTTGCTGGAAAATTTTTGACTGCATGTTATAATGATGATTTTTATTTTATAATCCATCTAGTTTTGTCATTGTAGACACCCAATTTCATCCAGGGACATACAAACAACAAGATAGGACATCAAAGGGCCCAAAAGTCCAAATCAACTATTTTTAGTCGCTCGGAACGGGCCGTTCCAAAATCAGAACGGGTCGTTCCCAAGTTCGGAACGGGCCGTTCTTGAATTGGAACGGGCTGTTCCGAGACTCCTAAAAGGCCTAAATATAATAGGCTGGAACGGGCCATTGCAAAATTGGAACGGGCCGTTCCAAGCTCCTAAAAAAGGGTTAAAAACCTTAACCGGAACGGGTCGTTCCTAAAATGGAACGGGCCCTTCCAAGATATTAAAATGGCTTGAAATCTCTTGTTTGGAATGCCCGTTCCAGTCTACCAAATTGTGTGTTAATCTTATCTCTGGAATGGGCCATTCTAGTTCTAGAACGGGCCATTCCAGTTATGAAATTAACACATAACGGCCAGATCCAGAACAGGCCATTCCAATTTTGGAACGGGCCATTTTGGACCCTTTTTGAAGCCTATAAATAGACAGCTTGGGCACAGTTCTCAAGACCCTCAAAAATTTCGTCCAGCACTTCTTAGAGCTCAAAATTTCTCTCTCTCTCTCTCCTATTGTATTTCTTGAGTTTTGTGAGGCTTATTGTAGTGTGAAAGGTTGCCACAAAGCACCTAAATCTCCATATTTGAAGATTAATAGAGCTCGTTCAAGAGGTATTTCAGTTAATTTTCTTCTCTCTCTTTTATTTGTTATCCTTGATAAATATTGTTTATAATAAAAGCAATCATGTAGACATTTTAAGGTCAATTGTATAATTTAAATTTTAAGCATGTAAATAGTTATTAATAAAAAGGAGATTTAATATTTATATTGTTATTGTTTATTACACGTAACCGACCCCCGAACCCAATTCTGGTTATCAAGGCCATTATTGGATTTTTAAAAACCTTTTCTTTTTCCAATGTTTTGAGTAAAACATTGGTGGCGACTCTATTAACCTATTTTCAAAACCATTAATTAAGGATTAGTTTGGTGTCCGGGCATTCCTTAATTAATGAGACTTTTAAAAGGATGTCTAAACCATAGGTCGCAAGATCGGAAATTTTTGGATTGCGACAGATGGCGACTCCACTGGGGAAGTTTAAAGAGGGTCAGACCCATTTAATTGATAAAGTTAATAAAAAAATAATAATTTAAATATTTTTCCCCTTTATTTTGTTTGGTTTATTTATTTGGCTTTAATATTTGTTTTCCTGTTTAAATTCTGCATTTGTTTGAATAAAAATTGTACACAATCCTTTGCACACAACAGTTCCCCCTACACCCAGGGGCATGAGGGTATTAAACATAGGGAGTGGTTGACGTACGATCGGCCCAAGTTTTGCCTTGGAGCCTGCGAGCCTTGTTGGGAATCACACTCAAGGTGATAACCGGTTACTCTAGCCCGAAATTCTGCGACAGACCTTAGAGCTTGCCAGGTGACGGCGATAGAGATACTGGGTCCATATAATGGGGGCACCTTGGGGGCCTTAAAACCAGTGAGATTAGAACCGTCTTATACAATTCACTTTTCTTACAAGGACCACAGACCAAGGATTTGAACGTGACTATTCGTGGGCGTACATTTGTTTGAGCATATGTGTGTTGCATTTGTTGTGTCGCTACTACAAAAACACTATTCAACATCGGCACATTTACATCGGTTTAAGTAGAACCGATGTAAAAAAAGAACGCGGTGGCATTTATGTAATTAAATGGAAAATATAAACATGTTTACATTAGTTTAGTAGAGAAACGATGTAAATACGAAGAATTTTACATCAGTTTTGATAGTAATTGATGTAGAATTCAAATTCGAAACATTGACAGCGTCATTTGTGTTTGCTACTCTCTTAACTCTCAGAATGAAACCCATGAACCTTCTCAAAACCCTAATTCCTCCCACCAATGTGACGACTAATAAAGAGTTCAAAGTCCCGCCGGTGGCTTTCCCCTCTGCTGGAAACCCTGCCGCGCCAGCCCTAAACCTCCAGCAACGGCGCGTGCCCAATCCACCGTTCCAACCGAACTCCGACATCCCCTTCATGTCCTTCGACATAGGCTCCACTGCAGCGTCCACCTCCTCCGGGCCAATGAAAGCTTCCACGAGGCTCGTCGTGTCGCTCGCCGATGGTGGGGACAAGCATCGCAGCCTCATAGCGTACCTTTTCAACAAAATCCTTTTTTTTTGTCTCTTTCGTCTTCAATCTTCCAAATCTGATTACATTGATGATGTGGGTGTGTGGGCGAAGCTCTCATTCCCTTGTTAGAGTTTCGTGAGAAGGAGGTGATGCACCATTATGAGGTTGATACTGATGCCGAGGTCTTGAAGTTTCTGGGGAGAACCAAAGGTAAAATCTTTGAAGTTAGATTACTAGACCAAGTAGCTTTTTGATTCTCTTTTTTTCAGATTAGATCTTCTATTATTTATAAAAACTCTTCTCTTTATAGTAAATGATGGCAATGATTGCTTTCAAAATTTGTGATGAACCTGTGTGTTCACAAATTCTTGTCAAAAATGATTTTGAAACTTGGATTCATTTTTTATACCTATTGGTACAAGCATATCATGTAACCTCTTGGAGTTGAAAGGCTTGCCATGAGGTATAATACATGCTGATTCAGATTTGGAGTTAAGACCATTATGGTTGAGAAGCAGTTCAAGGTCAAAGGTCAGGATTTTTGCATCATTCTTTCTATTTTGCTTCCTCCTTCACTACATATTCTGTTTTTCTATTTTCAAGCAATTCAAGTGACATAACAATGGACTGGATTACTCGATGCTTATGCTGTGCTATTATTTAATTCCAAAATTTAGTCTTTTTTTATTTATTTGTCTGTGATACAGTTATTTTGATTTAATTAGTTGGTATTTGATGTAAAATGCAGAAGCAGAACCATTGTATTCTTAAGTGAGATTATGGATCAGAAAGCAGGGGATGGCAGCAGTGTGAAGAAAATAATATCATCATGTGATGTTGAGGCTTTGAAGAAGTGTTTGGAAGAGAATAAGGGAGACTATGTCAAATGTCAGTCACAGATTGAGGCTTTTAAAGCATCATGCTCGCTCAAGAAACCAAACCCCTATTGATTCTGTCAATTCTTGTTTTCATCTTGAAGTTCTATGATTGACATTCATGGTTTGTTTCAAATGGCTCTTTTATATGCTTGTTCTAATGATAAAATGCCAACATGTCTTATGATCAACAAATATGTTGATCATTGTTCATAATTTGATGGTTTCAAAGTTGTTTCTTCTTTTTAGTTCAAGTTAAGACAGCTTATTCCTTGCTTTTCTTGTCTTGAAGGAATTAAAAAATGATTTTATCAAAGCAAGTAGCAGATTACTGATCATAACTTTTGTTCTTTATTTTTTATCAAATCAGATTGCATATCACCTTCTGTTGTTCTTGTTTAAACAGTCAAATGGCAGGCTTCTCACATTCTTCTTTACTAGAGCCGAAAGTACTTGGAGGTTTGTTGCTTAATAAACTCAAATATGTCAATAAATTAGTAAAGGCTTATTTATATCTTGTCTTAATAGATCATGGGTTTTATTGAAGAACTCATGTTTTTTATTTCTCTCGGCTAAATGGAAATGTAATTTCTAATGTTTTCTCTTATTGTAGGACACCAGTCCTTACTTGCATTTCTTTGGAAAAATTTCTTTATTTGTTGAATATTTTACTGGCTCCAAATTCAAAGCATGGTCTTATTGAATCAATTTCTATTCTCTGCCTCCCTCACAACTCAAGAATCATACCTATGACACAAGTGATTATTTGTTGACAGTTACACAACAAAAGAACATGTCTAAGAAATAGCCGTTAGTTGATAAAGCTAAATTCTCGGATGAATGACATACACCTGCGACCTGTCTTGACGGGTTTGCTCCACAAGTGAAAAAGTTTCCAAGATACGAACTTGAATTTGAGTTGCTTGATACTATTGTTTGAGTTGGTAAGTACATAATGTATTATGACAAATTTGAAAATTGACATGAGTAAATTCTATATTTAGTATTGTGTAGTTTGTACTCACTACCTGAGCGTTTTTATTTTGACAATTGCTACAGATTGCCTCTTGTAAATGACTTAGGCTTAGGCACATATAATTGGTTATATATTCTATACTATACACTCAGTAGTACTCAATAGTTTAAATTTTAAAAGATTGAAAATGAATATATGTGATTTACCCTATTTTTCTATTATTAAGAAAAGAAAATGGAGGTGTAGGAGAGGGTATTTGCTTATGGTTGGTAAACTTGAGCATAGTGTAATTCATAGTGGATGAAGATATGTAGAACTTTGATTTGTTCTGTTGTTTTTTCTTGGCCTTAGGCTTGCATTTGATATTAAGGATTGTCTGGTATCTTACAAAATCTGTTGTTCCTCTTCTAACATTTCTCCATGTTTGAGTCTCTTTCTTTTTAATTCAACTATGGTGTCTTTTCTTCTCTTAAATTAAGCGTTCATTTCATCATGTTATATTTTTAAATATTAAAAATGATAAAAGTTAGAATCAGCTCAGCTATAAGCCAAATTGTTTTTGTATACCAGATTTGTTTTTACAACTCTGGAGTCTGTTCATTTACCTTATTTCTTAAATTGTCTTTCATAATATTGTTTTTGACTTATAGTCCCTTTTTTCTTTAATTAACCTTCATGCAGGAAGTAGAGTCGGCCACACTTGATGCAATATCCAAGTCTAAGTTGGGAAGTGTATGATGTTGTAATCTGGCTATTCGTTTTGGATTCATTTGGTTCTATGTTTAATTACTCATTTTGTTACCAAGTTGTTTAAAGCTTTGAGTGCTCATGTAACGCTTAAGGTCATATATGTCCATGTATTTGTATATGATTGGTGGCAGTTATCCTTTATATTGAAATAAATTTGGATGAATGTGCTGGGTTTTGACTTGCATTTTACAATTAGTTATTGTTAAATTGATTATGTTTCATGCTTTTCTTTCATATGAGGCTATATTTGAAATCTGATATTCAATCATGTTGGAGATGAAAAGGCTATTAATTTAGTCATCTGTGAGAGGATATATATAGAAGAGTAGGTTTCCCATTAAAATTGGAAGAATCTGTAAATAGATGCATGGCTAAAATGTGATTCATTTTTTGGTTTCTTACGTATAATTAATTATTCTACATTGAGGATTTTGAAAGTTCCTATATTTGCACTTCTTTATGTCAACAGGTAAGATTTGTTTAGATGTGAGTTGTAAGCAAAATATTAGAGCTCTTCTTGTTGTTAGTTAATGATAGTAGAATTGAATAATGATAAATCCAGTCTTGTTGTTTATTGATTGGATAGTATATGGGTCAAAATTTAGACGTACAATGTAAAATTGCATTTGATTGGATAGAGAAAAATTACAATGTAAAATTGCATTTAATTTCCTTTGTAGGGTAAGTGTACATGAAAGTTGACATTTAATTTATTTTTTATTTTTTTTAATCAATGATATTTTCATTTTACTTTATTTCTATTTGCTTATGCTTCAAGTGTTGTTTGCAGCAATCTGGGCCATCCATTTGCTTCAGGTGTGACTTTGGTTAAGGTTGCTGCTGTTACAATGGATGAACAGGGGAATGAAACTTTTGATACAAGTGGTGCTTTGGATAGGTTGAGGAAGGTGAGGAGTCCGTTGCTATGATAATTTTATGAACAACATTAAACATTAATTCTAACTTGACAAACCAAGACTTACCAATATCGTTTTTGATGTAGTAAAGCACCATCTTTTTATATGTTAAAATATTGTGGTTTGTATACTTATCCTTTTTATTTTTCTTTTAAATTCAAGAGTGCATCTTGCATACCAGAAGATTATTTCTTTTAATGGTTTGCAATTTAGTTTACGTTTATCTTTGTTCGGAGTAAAATATGGATCAATTTTTTTGTAGCAAAGGAACTTGTTTTATTTTTTTATTTTGGTATGAGTGGCAGAAATATTATTAACATGGTATATTGCTGCCACCTTGCTGGTTTGTGCTGGCACCTTGCTGCTGGGTCATGATTTTTTATTTTTTTTAAAAAATGCAATCTACATCAGTTCTCTGGACAACCGATGTAGATTTAAGCATAAATCTACATTGGTTCTCTAGAGAACCGATGTAGATTTAAGCTTAAATCTACATCAGTTTTTCAGAACCGATGTAAAAATGTATACATTTTTTACATGGCTCTATTCTACATCGGTTTTAGAACCCATGTAGATGACTTTAGAGAACCGATGTAGAATATGCATCTTGTAGTAATATGTTCTCTTTTTTGTTCATTTCAAATAGAGAGGAATTATAAACAAATAAACAGATATCAATACTAAAAAAAAACTAACACTCTTTTGTATACCCTAGCTCTAAAGCATCATATAGGATAGTTTGTTTCAAAATAAGAATATATATATATATATATATATATAGCAAAAATCATGCATCATAACCTATAGTAAAATATAAAAAAAAACATGATAAAATTTAGGCAGAAACCAAATATCATGCATCTTTTAGTTTAGCATATACATTCATCAGAAATGGAAGGCACATGGTATGCAAAGATTTTTGAGAAAGGAGAACATTCTAAAGTACAAGAATCGTGTGCCCTTATACTAAGGAGGCCTACTAGACTTTGGACTCTCGTCATCCTTTCAACAGAAGGCAAAGTCTACATCTTCTCAGACTTCTTCCAATGTAGAAAGATGCCATTCCTCAACTCAAATAGGAGATTATTTGAAATTTTGAAAAGGAGGCACGCAAAAAGGGAGATCGAAGCAAAAAAAAAAGAGAAAAAAAATTTGCTTCAAAAGAATATAGTTTGGGAAGCTAAAGAAAACTTCGCTGATGAACGAGAAATCATGAACTTAGGGAGTTTGAAAAAATTGATAATGAGCACCATTACACCTCCAATTCATTATCAAATCACTCCAAACCACATCTTTCTTCTCTGACTCATCAACCTCGTAAATAAAGACAAAAATTTTGGCAATCACCAAAATAGTGGGGAACCCGAAGATCCTATTGACGGTTACTTCTGATGGGAATAGCAAGAAGAGAATCTGAGAAGAAACGAAGACTAATTGCAAATCAACGAACGAGAAAGCATGTCCATAGGGACATCATTCAAGCATGAGCTTCTGTAGCCTGCAACAACAACATCAAAGTGCACCGAAAGATCTTGTTCAAAGAATGTTCTCTAAACAAACAAATCAATGAGAATGATATTTGTTGAATTTCTCAATCATCTTTGCATCCTATTTTGCACCTCATATAGATAACATGCCTTCCTTGTAAATAATAAATAAGAATAAAAAGGAAAACCTAACTTGTAAAAAAAATGAATATCACTTAAAATAAAGAAACATTCGAATATAATATTAAAATGTAAATTGTTTGAATTACATGTTGAATGACAAAAGTTAAAATACAATCATATTAAACAATGTTCTATATGTGTATGCTTGATTGAGAGACATGTCTTTTGGCTACAAAATATCTTCTTCAATAAAGTAACAATGTTCTATATTGTCCTTTCAATAAGAGACCATATGACTGTCTTTGCTCATGTATTATATATCTTGTTATCTGCATTAGATATTCAAGATATTATAGTTAGTAGATAAACCAGGAGTTGATTTATAGTTACAAGTAAACAATCATACAATACAACAACAATCCTTCACAATTCAAAGTTAAATATAAATGATGTGTGTATATGACATTTGTAGAATTATGACAAGTTACAAAATATAATACTAGTAGAATGTGTAAACAATAAACACCCAATAAAAAAGTGGGAATCAATTTTTTCTTGTTAAAATTTATTTGAAAGTTTGAGAATTTCTATTTTTCTTTCTTCATAAACTTGTAAAAATTTTGACTAATTAATCAAAATTTTCATATGATAGGATGATGAAATTTCAACATGAAAAGATCAATTTTCTCAAAGATTGAAAAATAAAATAAATACGTAAATAAATCTAGTGGTAGTTTTGAGCTCACAATAATATCTCCCATAAGATAAATTCACCAAGAGTACATGACAACAAGCACAACACCTAATCCATGTGAATTCATAATAACAACGAATAAATGATCTTACATAATTAACCTTACACTATTCCGTTCTCA